TGTTGCTCTCCAGAATTATCATTCATTACTCAAATTATTCTCGATCTTGCCTAACAATTACGATAATTAACTTACGATATTCACATCGTCATTCTACTTCCGAAGAGGATTTAAAACTTTGTCTCGCTCCCTTTTTCGCCGAGTAAAATCCGTTATTTCGATGCGACTGTTGGGATCTTGATATTTTTAGAGCGATTCGCGTTATCATTAAGAGCGGCCTAAGAAGAGGACTTAGAATTCGCGTAGAGTTGAGCGCGGGCGTAATAAGAGACTGCCTGCTGACGGCGGTAGCCGCGGTTCGTGCCCACAAGCAGCAGCAACACGGAGGAGAACAGGGCAGGGTGAGATGACCTCCCCTCTCTCCTCTCACACACACCGGAAGGCTTCAGGCCTGGGCCCCGTTCCCGGCCCCGGTCCCGGCCCCGGCCCCGACCACCGCGTACGAGCAGGCCCCGCTGGCGGAGACCCCGCGGCGAATCCAAACGTTCAGTTTGTTCCCTCCTTTCCTCTCTTTCATCCTCTCTCAAGCGCACACTCTCTCTTGTCGTGATGAGGTTCACGACAATGCCGCGCAATCGGCAGACTGAGATCGAGAGGGGTACCCACGAGGCGGAAGAGGATCTCGGATAAGGTCTAGAAATCGTCTACATACGATGAACTTTTTTTTTATTTTTTAAGGGCAATTATTTTCAATCTTTAAAAAAAGTAATCATTTCTATCGTTATATAAAAAGCTTGTTGATATAAGAATCTATATATCTACTGCAGATTTTCAAAGAATTAGTTTCACAATTTATGCGTAATCTTTTCGTGATCCAATCTTCTAACTTAATTAAAAAATATCTTCATAAAAGTATAGATAAATTTTTTAATTTAGTTCTTTTGGTACTTACCTCGTTAGAAATCGAATGATCAGAATAATGGGCCGAGTTTCTTCAACTTCCTTAACAATTCCGGTTTAGTTGTCAATGCCTTATGGATAGACTCAATTAATACTTTAGTTTGATCGTAGGGTGGAAACGGCATGCCTTCGAGATTGTAGATGTAAACGGCGCCCTCAATATCAGCGATCACTAATTGATTCCCGTTCGCTGTAAAACTAGCAGCAACTAATCTCGTTCTATTCGGTGAAATCTTTATAGATGCTGGAATATGCGTTTTTCTACGGATATCCCACATGCATATCTGGTCGTTTACAATGCTGGCTATAATAGTGGAACTTTTAGGACTCCAACAAGCGTTCCTTACGCACGCCATCGCTGTTGATAGAGTGATAAGTGGCTCAGTAAGATTCTCAGCCCATATCCTGATGCACCAATCAGCGCCGCAGGTTAAAAATAACTTCTGACAAAAGGGTGAGAACTCAAATGAATAAATTGGACCGTCATGCGCCAGAAAACTGTCCACGTGCTGACGCAAGTAATTCGTGGAGCATCGATAAATACAACCTTCATCGGAGCCGACAAAGTAAATGTTGCTGACGATGGGATGTCTTCGGAGAATAAGCGCACTCGGTTGGCGATTGATGGGTACATCGTAAGCCACACAATGATCTGTTCTAGAAACTCCGCTTAGTTTACCTTCGACTCTATATAGGCGCATGATCTCTGTAGCAAACAAATCTTCTGCCAAACGATAGCAGTATATCCGGCCATCTTGATCACTGGTGTAAATTTGTTCTTGGTAGTTAAATTGCTCATCGCCACTCCACCATTGAACCTGGTAGAAAAAATTAAATTTATTAAAGTTGTACCGTAAATTTCAGAAACTAATAAATAAATTAAATATAGTGCGCATAGTATCAAAATTAGAATAACAATATCGCACTAAGTAACATACTTACTTGCCAATGTGGTGAGCAAGCTGTCGATGTCTCTCTATGACTCCGCTTGATGATATTCACTTCCTTTGCGCTAACATCAATGACTCTCACATTTCCATCATAGAAACCAATCGCTAGAAGATTCGGTCTTTCTCTGCTCCAATCGATATCGGATAACGGACTATCAAAGGCATACTCGCGACCAGGTTGGCTAGGATTTTTGGCACACCAGATCAATAGTACTCCGTCCGTCTTGTTGGATCCAGTTTTAGCGCCATAAGCAACAGCAAGGACGTTCGCGTTAGCCGGACTCCAGCGAAATGCAGTCACAGGACGATTGTGCACCATTTCGGATGCGAATGTCCACAGCAAATCCAAATGATAATCGAATTCCAAATCCAAAGCGCATAGATCGCGTTTAATTAAACCAGTAAAGCGTCTTTGCACCTCTGCGAATACATTGTTTGCGATTATACGTTCCATTACGTTTACCGCAGCCAAGAACCTTGTCTCTCGATAGATACGAGACAATTGTTCCTCGGGGCTTTGATGACGAATTTCAGGTTCAGGGAGCTTATATTGGAGTTCCTATTACAAAATGGAAATTTCTTTGACATCTTTCGTAAAAAAATTTCTACATTTTTTAAATTAATATATATTATTTCAAAGAATATTATCATTATTTTAAAGAATACTATCATTTTCCGAAATACTAAAAATTTTAAAAATTTTAGAAAATCTTTAATCTTTAAATATTTTTCTTCTCTATGTTTCATCCTATATAAAGGATGTATCTATCATTTCGCATTGTATTTATCATTTCAAAACTCTTTCTTTATATTTAAAGGTTTTCTCTAAGTTACATTAATTTTTCATATAGAAATAATATGACAATATAATTTTTCAATTATCTACATATATAATGCACATATATAATATAAATATTTTTCTTAATTTAATGAAAATGCATAATTGCTTTTTTAAAAAGTTTATAATTCTACATAATTTGTACCTGCGCTTGTTGCATTCGACATATCGATTCTTTCGTGTGTACTATCATACGTCCGTTCTTCTCTATCATCAGTTCCGGTGCCGCATAGGTATCATGCATCATCCAATTATTCACAAACATCCCTTGATTCCTGCGGGACCTCAGGCCGCAGTAAGTGCCACGTGATTTCGTCAACACATATATCGTCTGCGTCTCGACATTTAACAGCTTCCGATCGGAGCCCGGACCTGTTATATACTCGTAATTCTCATTTTCCTGTTTTAACGCCTGTCCTTCGGGCGTTCGCAAATCCTCGGTCATCTGCGGCATCTCGAATATGAAGAATGTCTGTGTTTCCTTTAAGGTGATTGTCACAGTTTTCGGACGTGTCGCAAATATTGCCGAGTCGTCGCTGTAAATAAATATTCGACATTAAAAAAATATCCTATTTATTTAAATCTATTTTACATATATCCCAGGCGACACCATTTCAAAATAGTCTCTTCCAGTCTAAGACTGTCTTAAAAGTAACAGTTTTATAATAATTAATGTGTGTTATAATTTCACACTCAATAATAAAAATGTAATGCAATAAAAAATTATATAGTGTTGAGTACAAAATTATTAAGTTAATATTAATTAAGTTATTTCCAGTTTGGTGTCGAGTAAGATATTTCTCATAAAAATACGGTAATGCTCCAAAGTTAAATTTACATCATTTAGAAATAATTAAAACATATAACATAAACTAGTATTACCTAGGTAGAAAAAATGGCAATGGCGCGGTATCCTCAACCTCTTCTGTGGGCTCACAAACCTCACAAACCTGCGTTGACAGTAGACTTTCCATCTGTAAATCATCGGATAGCGTGACAAAGGACTTAGCAAGGACGGAAGAACTAGCCCTGAGACCGCTGAGTCTCGAAGAAGTTATCTGCAGTTGAGAACCGCTTCCGGTCTGGAATAATCCGATGGTCTCCAAAGCGGTCATCTGATTCTCATCGATAGTGCTAAAAGCTGCATGGACTAACGGCTTTGGTGTGACATCGATGTTCTCGTGAATGATCCGAAAGGCTTGTCGTTGTTGAAGAAGTGTCGAAACGAAATTCCGATCGCATCCCGTCTTGCGGACTCGTCCAAAATTACCGAGCTTGGATGAAGTAATGCTCGAAATCCTGGATATCCGTCGCGGCGATTCGAAGTCACCGGTTTTCATTCTGCGAATGCCGAATAAAGTTTTATAGATCCAAACGTTTGGAGCAACGTTTGAGATTAGTTAAAGACACGAGCGGAGTTTGGAGCAAATGCAAGTATTTACCGCCATTTTCCGCGGTTCCTTGGAAACGCGAAAAATGGCGGTAATTTAATCAATTTTGAATGTATACATAGAGACTGAAAAAGAGTTTTTGTAAAAAAAAAAAAAAAATGCACACCACAGAAATGTACACCAAATACTTAAAAAAAATGTTCAAACATGTATATGCAGGAAACAGGAATCTTAGAGAGACAAAAAACTGCATATAATTTATTTACAACAAAAAAATATTTTTTAACAATTAAGCACTAAAACTTTAAATTTCAATATTGTTTATAATTAAATTAATAAAGTTATATTAAATAATTATTTAAAGTTATATTAATAATTACATTTTATCTTATTAAATCCACAAGGCAATATATAATATTTATATTTATATTTAAATTTGAGCGAATCTATAATCTTTTGAAAACTGTACATGATTCTACATAAGCCAATGGGTCAAGGCGATGCTGCAAACGCTTTGAAGCATTTTTTAATTAGTCAGTTTGCAAAATTTTTTCTTCTAATTCAATCAAGTTAAAAGTTAACGGAATATTCCCGAATTTTCTATCATCATTAGGCATATATAAGCAGAAAACTGAAAATCATTCTGGTACGAATTAAAAAGTAGAAACTCAGTGCAAGTACAGCTCTACTCGTTACACCTGAACTGGGTAGCATTTTTGCTCCCCCACTATACATAGCGTTCTACGTGATAATTCCAGCGTGATCGATAAAATTACTTAAGATAGCGTAGTGATATGTCAGAAACGTCGTAGAATCTAATATATCTATTACGCGGTGCGTGTACTCGCGTAGGTAGACGATGTCAGCGAAAGGAAAGAAAAGAATACACAGGAAGCGTGAAGGTGGTGGAAACGGGGGGTGGGGATGGCAGCGACAGTGATGTGGTAACAGCTGTAGTTTCAAGCTTTTCGAAGAATTTTCGAACAAAATCGTATTAGTGTCTTTTTTTTTTATACGTATAATCATAACACTGATAGCTCCGTGAGTCGTAGACACACATTGGAGTACATTGGAAAGTTGGAGTGTCGCACGTCTACAGGAGGCCAGACGCAAAATCCACGAATATCGGTGGACGCGGTGATTGCGGCATATATAACTGCATATAACGCGCAGTGCGGACGAAACAGCTAAATGTGGTGTCGGCGTGAGCACTTGTGACGCGCGCCATGTCGCGCGTTCCCAGCTGATCTTACATTTGACATAACGTGCACGTATTCCCGCAGCCGTACTGTTCAACAGCAGCACCGAAAATAGCGTAATTACGAAGAAGATATAGCCGCGCGTCTTCCTTGATGCGTGATTCAGTCGTGATCTAGTAAAATCCGAGCTGTTCCGAGAGAGAATGGCGGAGCTGGATGACTTATTTCACACGGATCAATATGTAGGTCCGGAGCGCCTTACTGATTTGTGCTACAAACTGATCTGCGAGAATCTTGACATTATCTCGATAAAGGGAAGACGCGGCCATCGGATACTACGAAAGGGAATAACTTTCCCGAGCGAGATATGCGACAAGATTATAGAATACGCGCAACGTAGTGAGGCGACCGAGGATGATGATTGCTTTTTCTCCATTTTCAAAAATCTAGCGGCGACCCGACTGAAGCACGTTAAGATCTCTAATTGCAGCCTGACTGACACTTCGGTTCAGACACTTGTCAATCACAAACTTTATGATTTAGAACTCACTGATTGTAGTAATGTAACAGAAATCTCTATCGAGCATATTAATGCCAATTCAGAGAACTTACACAGTTTAGCGTGTTATGGAACTTCGATGATTATACCTTCTAGTTTAAGTGCCTGTAAGAAACTACTGTAATCCATGTATTCTATCCTAATGTGATCCAACATGTGATTATTAATTAAATTATCTATAACCTTTGTTACAGCCGGCTCGTCCAACAATTATGTCCAACAATTACAATACTATGGACGAAATTACCAAACACGAAGATACGTTTTCAAAACGCCGAATTTAAAGCGACTGGCATTAGCATATGTAGGAATACCTTCATCAGAATATACATTGCTACTAGCAGGATTAACGAATTTGACGCATCTAGATTTATCCAATAGCTGTAACATTGATACTTTTGAATTTTATCACTTGGTACCAAATTTAGTATCCTTAGCTTTGTACAACGTTAAGGTCAATACTGACCCAAAATCTTTTGTTAAGAACATCTGTCAGTTGAAGAATTTGAGGTATATTATAAAACTTGGATTATACTTAAATAATATAATTGTTACTAAATTATCTAATTAGAAATTTTCTTAAAGGTGCAAGTATACAGTTAGATGATATGCAAAATTAAGCTAAACTGATATTAAACATTATAGATTCACACAAAATATTTTTTTAGGCACTTGGATATTTCTCAGTCGTGTCATAAACAGGGACAGTTTGAGAATCCTAATAAGATCTTGTCTGACCTAGTGACTGGTCTACCTCAGTTGGTTTCTTTAGACATCGGCGGCACAAACCTTGCAGGAAGAGGTGTAGCTGAGCGTCCCATAAATACAAATATTGAGGACACCAATTATGTACAACTTTCCGATATACCAGGACTCGCATCTAAAATACATAAGCCATTACAATTTTTAGGACTTTATGGAACTACTCATGGTGCTTGTAGAAGACATGATATACCAGCAAAAGTGGTAAGATATACAAGGTTTTATAATTCATACCTACTAATAATAAGATGAAAAATTTTTAAATATGTTTTGTTGTTTCATTGCAACAAAAAATTAACTAAAAAATATTTTTAATTTATTTACGTATTTTCTTACGTGGTTTGATTTAGGTCGCTGGCGATGCAAATGAGGATCAAATACTGATCGCAGCTCATGTTTGTATGGACAATAAACAAGAATTATTGCAAAAAGTATTGAGTGATTTATACCATGTATTTAGATTTGAAAATTGTCATAGAATGGATCAAGCGCTATGTACTGTCTTGGAAGCAATGGAAAAGCATCCAGCTCAGAAGCATATACAAATATCTGGAAGGTATGTGCATAGATACACATTCTGTAATTTATAAATTGCCAAGAGAGGCAACTGCGATATTTGAGAAAGCAATTGTTAAACTTACATCAATAATTACAATTTTAATTTTATGTCGTACATAATAGCGCCACGTTATTCTATATATTAAAGATGAAGGAAAAGGGTGAATTAGTAGCACGAATGAAGAAAAGGATTATCAGTACTCTCCTTGCTGGTATGAGCACACATAGAGATGAAGAAACTATGATGCGGAATGGTTGTTTGGCATTATGTCAATTCCGCATACCACATGATGTGGTTTGTATTACTTCGTTTTTTTTTAATATTGTATATTACATAATTAAATATAATATTATTAGTTTTTAAAATTTTTTACAATCAAATTATAGGATATATTATAAACAGAAAAGTTGTATCTTTATGTAATGTAACGATTTATCAATTTATTTGTATAGATGTCCAATTATGAAACTCTTGTAAAAGTACTTTTACATTCAGCCAAACACTCAGAACCAGAAAGTTTCGTTCAAAGAATTGGCATATATCTATTGAACTCTTTAGCTTGTCAAGTGGAAGGTAAAGAGAAAAGATTACTTGGCAAATTGGGTTGTGTTAAGACTATGTTAGAATTGGTGGCGTACAGGGTGGAAACAAATATATTCGACGATGTATTAGAAGTCGCATGGTCGACTATGTGGAATATGACAGACGAAACATCTGTAAATTGCGAACGATTCTTAGATGAGGAAGGCATGGCACTTTTCTTGAAATGTGTACAGGTATGTTTTACAATATATTTGATTATAGGCACTACAGAATGTACTTACAATTAGCTTAAGCTGTATGTATGCGTGTAATTTTCTTTCTATTGCATAATAAATAATCTCTCGTATCTAGCGATATCCATATAAAGAAGAACTATTGAGGAATATGATGGGTTTGCTCGGAAATGTGGCAGAAGTCGAATATCTTCGGATCCATCTTATGCAGGAACGATATGTAACTGTCTTCTCCAATCTGTTACGATCTAATAGTGATGGAATCGAGGTTTCGTATTTCTTTTTTTCTTCTCTCACTTTTCCTTTTTTTTTCAATTTTTAATAAATTATCTTTTTATAAATTATTTCAATTTTCGAACATTTTTTATTGTTCAAATTTCTAATATGCTCTTAAATATATATATTTTTCGATTTATATAGGTTTCATACAATGCTGCTGGTATATTGGCACACATGGCATCTGATGGTGTCGACGCTTGGACAATAGAAAAGCCAACTCGTAAAGAGGTTCTTAAATACATGGTGCAAGCAATTGAAAGTTGGGACTTAAATGCAGAACGTAATATTAATTATCGTTCGTTTGGACCATTATTACGTCTACTGGATGTGTATCATACTCCTCCATGTCAACATTGGGCTGCTTGGGCTCTTGCCAATCTCACTAAAGTATACTGTATGTATGCAATATTAATATTTCTTATGTCAAACACTTTAAATTATTTGCTCCATTTTGTTCCATATATCTTTTGCTATTTTATGATATAATTCGATAATTTTTTTAGCATTCAAATATTGTGCATTAGTAGTGAAAGAAGGAGGACTAGAGAAACTACATACAGTGATAGCGGATTCTAGACCATACGAACGTATAAAAGAACTCGCAAATTTGGTGATTGAAAATTGCTGTCAATACGAGAGCCATTCCGACGATGTAAATGTTTCTCATTCAGTCTTAGATTCGGAATATATACGTCTGGGTGGCTAAAAAATATCTTAGTAACATCATTATGCGTTGCATAACTTATATCGTTTCTTTAGGCAAAACAAATAATTAGTACTACAATTTGATAATAGCCGAGGAATAATTACATAGACGAATCAGAAAAACATGAGTGTGTTACATTAACTTGATAATAATAGATCTGTTCTTTGTAGTTGTACCATGTCACACTTTCTGCACTTAAAATATGAAATAAGTATATAATTAGACAGGGAAAAAAAAGAAATGATAAAAAGTACAAAAAGTGTAGCTACAAAGAACGAACCTATTTTTTCGATAAAAAAAAAGAAAAGGAATGGATGCTCAATATTATATATGCTATTATAATTACAAAAGTTGTGTGTGCATATGTATGTATTTTTTTGTGTTATATGTGTGCATGGATTTGTATGAAGAATACGAAGTATTTTGAAACGAATATTCAATTTTATCCGCAAATATTTATCTTATATATTATTGCTGGTAATTAATGATGAACTACACCGAGAATCTTTCATCCAATGTATATACGGTGTCACAAATGTTTTGCCATAAAAACTATTATTTGAGCACGTTCAAGCAGATATGTCTACCCAGTAAACGAGAATGGATTGAAATGAATTAAATTGGATTCAGATCTTCAGAAATATTGATTCATGTTAAAATGAATGTTTTTCAATTCTGAATGTATTTTTATTCATTTATAGAAATTGCATGGAGTATATCTCTATGCCTTTCAATCTAAAAATAATATTAGTTTTTCTGTGCACACACAACCCCCCCCCCACACACCACACACATATACATTGTGAATAGTATTCAAATCCAAAAAAAAGTATTCGTCATTTAAAATACACATTCGGATAGAAAAAAATTTCAATCCATTCTCGTTTACTGGGTAGATATTTATGCATCATAATCGCTGATTGTTGATAAAACAACTAAATTTATATTGATTTAAAAAACGGAATGAATACGGGTTGCTATTTACTTTTAACTGAATGTGGTTATGCTCATGCATGTAAAATACAGATGCTAAATTCACCGACAGATAAAATTCTCAACAATGCATTTGTCACGCCGTGTGTGTATATATACATACATACATACATAATACGCTTTTAATATATAGCCTCCGTATTCTGTACATCTCTATTCTTAGGCCCAGTTGCACCAAAATATCACTTTGAGTTTAAGAGAGATTTAAAACTCTATCTCTCATTTTAAAACCAAAAAGAGACAGAGACAGAAAGAGTTAAGTCTTACTTAAAATCAAAGTAACATTGATGCAATCGGGCTTTAAGTAAATGAGAATTGAAATGAATTGAAATGGATTCAGATTTTCAGAAATATTGATTCACGAATGTTAAAATGAATACTTTTCAATTTTGAATGCATTTTTATTCATTTATAGGAATTGCATGGAATATATCTCTATGCAATTTAAAAATAATATTAGCTTTTTTTGTGCACACAATTGTGAATACTGTTCAATTCAAAATTTTGAATAGGAAATGCAGTTTTTCAATCCAATTGCATTCAATTGAATCTAATTGAATTCAATTAAATCCAAAAAAAGTATTCGCTATTTATATATATACGCATATAAAAAAATAAAATACGCATTCGGATAAAAAAAAATTTCAATCCATTTTAATCCATTCTCGTTTGCTGGTCATCTAAATTTTTAAAAATGATTACTGAAATCGCAAAAACACAATGGCTGCGTTCAGCAGAGAAAGCAGCTTTGCAACTGTGTAAAATTCTTTATGATTGATCTTGCTCTTAGTTCCTCATTGAGTCTAAATGTATAATTATATTCAAGAATTTTCATGGCTGCTGAACGCAGCCAGTGGATTAGATGAGCGGAATGGAGGAGAGAGAATAAAATTTATTTGTAATAATGAACTAAATCAAGGAGGTACGACTACAAAGAGCGAAAATGAATAATCGCAGCTAAGGCTTGCACGTTTATTATACTTGTCTTTAACTAATCGTATTAATTTTCGTACAATATGTGGATGTTCGGTTTTTTCTCTTACTTTGCTTTTCCTTTTCTTGTAGATATAATAGTATAGATAATTCGTTCTCATTATATTACGATTTTTCCAAGACACAAAAATGTGACAGGCTTAGAAGAATATTAAATGTGTAAATAGAATTGCGAAGGAGCAGTACATAGGATTTAAATGTTTTGTATGTTATCGTTATAATTACTATTAAAGAACCCTTGAGAAAATTATCTCTATCAACTAAGTCCCAATTGTACACGGTCAAACATATATTTTCATCGAATTTTCAGATTTGTCTTTTCATAGGTTCTTGTTCCATAACAAGAATATACGGAGAAATAATTATAGCGATTATTACCTGCGCCAATATAATGTGACGATGTAATCACATAACACATCAATGCATACCCGGTTTGTTCGATGTATAATATAGTATTATCTGAAATAATAAAAATACGCATTTTATTCTTTTTTTCTATCCTTATTTTTGCTTTTTTTTCAAAAATCATTGAGGCTTTTTATATGGATTCAGTGACACAAATTATTCTGGTTCATCGTAATAAAATAGTAGTTGCAAAATAATGTGATACCAATGATTTTATAATTGTAAAACTAATAATTATAATTTAATTGATAATTCTAATTAAACAATTTTAGAAAATTAATAATTTTACAAATAATAAAACAAAATAATAATTAAACAAAAAATTAATACAAATATAAATTATATTTTATTTTCAATACTTATATCACTATTAGAATTATTAATTTTTTATTATATAGAGAAAAATTAGATCGAGAACAATAAATATATAATTCAAAGTTTTGTTCCAAATAATTATATCGTTATATCGAATAATTACTGGAATTTAGTCAAAATCCAGTTCTATATTTACAATCACCTAAAAACAATCTGAAAGTCTAAGGGCGCGTTCACACCTTGACGCGGAAATGCTTACGGCAATATACGACGCAGTAACGAATGAACAGCACAATGTAGGAGCTGTAAGTTATTGGCTACCACGTCAAACGGCGTTAAAGCTGTAAGCAAATCGACCAATTACAATCGAGCATTTTAAAACACGATATGTTATTTTGATTGTGTTTGGTCGATTTGCTTGAGACTTTACGATTGCGATTAAAATTTTGTACATACGTGTGACAGTCTTAACTTTCATGGAGAGCCACCTTTCGATATCCAATAGAAATTTTTTTTCCAGGGATAAAATGTCCGTAGCCAAAGTCCCTAAAGAATTCGTTCTGTAATTGGACGTATTGGAAGGTGACGCATTCTTCGTTATTCGTGGCAGGGTCGGCAGGGACGCCTATTCCAAAATGAGCGTGCCGACATTTTAGTTCGTGGTTGCTTCTTGGTGAATGACTGTCCGATTTGCTCCGGCCTTGGCGTCTTGAATGATTTTTTTCGGAGGAGGAGGCACGCAGTATCGTAGATCGGGGGATACTTGAACGGCCCGTCGAGCAGGCCCGTCGAGCAGGCGTACATAATATACGTACGAGTGAATTAAGAAATCGATTGTAGACGCGTTCTTGTCGCAAGTGTCGCAACGCAACGAAGAGGCGAAGGCTGCGACTCCCACTGATTTGGGTGAGTTTCATATATCACGTTCATCACGCGTAGGATACCAAAATATGGCCATCGCCTTGAAAACTCGCGTTAATACGAGATTATTGACCCTTTTTATCGACTCGTAGCTCTCACGTGGGAATATATTCTCCTATAATATTCCGCGTTACGAAGGGCATGGATGTCCTTCGCCACTTCGTGGCGCATCGTCACGTTGCTCGGCGCATCCGGTATCGGGATTTCGCCAACGCGAACAATGGACGCCGTTGTACTTTCCGAAATCTTTCTCGTGTCTGATCTCGCTTTTTCTTTCCTTCGTTGAAAATCGATTTCGTTCGTGGATTTTTACGCGAAATTGCGTTATTCGTCAACGGAATTCCAACTGCGATCGTGATTATTAATTGGAATAATGACTTGTAAGCGCAGAGAGGCTATTAATTGTATATTTCCCACGAATGTAACTTATGCCACATACGTTGTACAAAAAAATTTATTTTGTTCATAGACTATTGGCGCTGTATCCACTACAGCCCCTTTCTCTTTCTCTCTGTCTCGTTCACCAATAAGTTGCAACCATGAGCTATGGTTACAACAAATACAGGTTGGTAATGTACGTTTAATTACGCCGCGGGGATTTACATTTGGTTGAAAAGATCGATAAATACTTTATTTTGATGGCATTTTATTGAAACATCTTGAGTGACTTTAATATTATCTCTGTTTTTGCCTATCATTTTCATATTTTATATTTTGTCAATATATTTGCATATGAGACTCGTTACTCAATTATATAGTTATAAAGGAATTTTAATTTTTTTTATTAAGACGCAAGAGAATACGTCAAGATATAAAACATGGAGAAAAAGGATAAATGCAATATGAACGTAACAAGAAATGTCTTTCTCTATTTCTTTTAGTTCCACCATGAGTTCTCGTGGTCGTGGATTTAGTTCTCGTGGAGGGGGTTCTTATAGGGGTCGAGGTGGAGGAAATGAGTGGAATGGTTCATCAGCAGGAGGCAATGTGTCTAGAGGAGGATATTCATCTTCGAGGGGTGGCAGATTTAAATATTCGACAACGAATTATGATTCTAGATCCAAATATAACTCAGGTAATATACGAACGTTATATATTTAATAGTAACATTGTTGGAAAAACAATTATGCCCATATCAAACTATAGATTTAATTTGAAAATTTTTGATATTTTCTTTATTTCAGTTGAATTTCTTAATTTAATTTCAATTTCAATCTTCAGCATTATAGAGATATGCACTTCTAGATAGCACTTATAAGAGTTTAGTATTAAATTGAGACTTTGCTCCACTTGGTGCTACAAATGCTTCAAAACATTTAATTGATCAAGATAACGAAATCTGTGTCTTAGGATGAAATCCATTTGATGCTACTTTAATCTATCAATTACAAAAAGAATTTTACTAACTGATCAATCTAAAAATTCTTCAAAGCATCAAGTGAATCGTAGTCTTAAAGCATTAAATAGAAAGCAGTCTAAATTGAAGATTATAAAATATCTAATACTTTACAGTATCACAAGTTGTGTATTAGATATCTCCCTACTGTGAAGTAAACAAACAATATTGTAATATTGTTGATTATTATTGTATTTACAGGATCAGAAAGATATTCAAGCAGAGGCGGTCGTGGCGAACATTCGAATAGTTATAAAAGACCTCGTGTAAGAATACAAATTGATTAATTTCTATTTATTAAATTTATTTAGACTATGATATTTATTGGAAGCGTTTTCGTGATGACATATTCAGAATACTAAAATGATTTTTTTTTTTAGGATTCTTATTCTGCCAGAGATGACCATCGATCGTCAAGTGACTCAGCGCGTAAACGGATAAGAAGTGATTCTTATCAGGTATGTATCTTCCCCTGTTTCTCTCTTTGCAATCTTTATCCGTTTCTCTATCTCTCATGAGATAGATGATTAATAATTTTACCTCTTTAGATCCAGCATTACATTGTAATGTATATCAAATTTGAAGACATTATTTGTTGAAATTATTTAATTCTATTGACATTATCTGAAATTGATGTACATAATAATGTATATGTTGGAAAAATAGTCAAAATTTTGAAAAAAAAATTTATTATTTAATATGAATTATTTATTTAAATATGCATAAACTGAATTAAAAAAATTTTCTTTAACATGGTTCCAATAAAATCAAATTTGAAGAGGTTAAGAGAAAAACATAGTACGACCTCAATGCTCTATATGATTATGTATGAATATTTCCCAACTTGAATTTCTATGAAAAATTTAATGAAAAATTTTTTTCAATAGAAGATTAAAATATTGTTGTTTTATGTAATGTAACGATGGTCCTGAAAGTTTGTCACTTATAGATTGAAGTGTAACGTATTAAAAAATGAGTTACACAAAGGAATATTAAATGATTTCAGGACACTCGTATATAAGAAAAATTGGTATATCTTAGACAGAACATTTATAAGTTATCCTACTTTCCTTTCAAGCAACGCGAACCAACGGCTTCTCGAACACTCGTTCTTTTTGCGTTGGGACGCTACTGCAGAGGAACGCTACAAAAACGTCAAATTATTAAAAGATGAATCGTTAAAAGATGAAATATACCTAGATGGTATTTATACGATATTGCCCGCTGTCCGCACATATCCTAGTAAAGTTTGAGAGCTATTTGAAAAATCAATGACAAATTGAATGGATAGACGTGAGAGAGTTACATCATGTTATTCCCCGTTAGAGAACAATAAGCGCAATTATGCCGATTTATTATGCAGTAATGAGAATAAAGAGTATAGAGAAATTGTAGAGAGATAACAACGTCTTCTCAGGCATCGCCTTGTGATTATACATGGGATTTTCATGAAATATCACCCATAAACATCGTTTAATCAATTATTTAAATTATAACACAAATGCTAAATTACAAGAGCACAAATTTTGATTAATATTTATACGTTCGTAGGCCTTTCCAATTGTTATACATTGGGACATGTTATCGACCTTGCGCATAACAAAAAGGGAATTGGGAAAGAATTAATGTCTAATGTATGCACATCCCTACAGAATGATACTAGGGAAATACTTGGCATGCATGATACATGTGGGGGAGACGAGCGAAATATGGATATACAAGTGTATATACGTATATATAATATCGTTCAAACTATCTTATATTATCAAACGCAACTATACGCATAAACATTCGCAAATGATTACGTACATAACGACAACTTTGTTACTTTTATTCGATTCATCTTCGTGTATATGAAATATTTGACACATCACGCCTAATGACAGATATGTAATTCAACTAAGTTGGAAAGGTCTATCGAGAGCATTATATGTACGTTATATATATATATACATACATCGTTGAATGACGAGATAGAATTCGTTAGCTCAAGGGAAACGAGCGCTGCTACTACTCCCGAGATTGCAAATATCAATAGAAAGTACATTTTTATAACGAGGCAATGAAAAGATACTTAGGGATTCTTAATTATTTAGGGAAAATCAAATTGTATATCTAGGTGATACAATGAGCATAGAGTAATTACAATTATTAATCCCATATATGACGGTCATGACGCTGAACCATTTTAAACAATAGACAATTAGCACTGCATGCACGGTGATAATCGAATGATGAAATGCAAATGGGTTTGAAAACTGAAAATACAAACATCAGTTAAAATTACAATGCCGACATTATGCTATTAATCGATCAATCAGTTTTTTATTCAGTCGATTGAGTTAGTCATTTAGCCATTTAGTCACTCAGTCGATCACTCAATCAATCCATCACTCGATGTCAGTCGGTTAGTCACTTGATTAGACTTAACACCAGTTGGACAGTAGCAATTAAGAGGTAAATATGACGTAGATAAATATGTATGTGCGTGTAGAAGGGGAGAAAAAGGATATGTATGCATAAGCACACATACGTGTATACTTATATGTAAATATATACATACATATGTGCGTAGAATAAAATAAAATAGAATAAAAGAGAAAAAGGATGGGAGACGAAATAAAAAGAAAGAAATGCATGGAAGGAGCACAATTAAATTTGATTTGGCAGGGTGGAGGTAGCGGTAGCGGCTCACAGAGGTATTCGTCGTACGGTTCGTCCACATCAGCGGCTTATGACGATAACAAGGGATCGTCATCGTCCAACGTATACGAGGACAAGAGACAGAGCGAACGCGCGTCATCGTACCACCGTTCGGAGGACCGTCATTCCGCATCACGGAGCTATGCGCCTCCGCCACCCCCTCGGATTAGCGAAATGGCACCGCCACCGACTCAGAGATACACCTCAAGTCGAGGAAGAATATCGCATCAGAGTTCGAATTACAGAGGTCGCATTTCGACCCGCGGCACCGGTGGTAGAGGTGGTGCATTTCATCGTGTGAGCTCTCGATCGGACGTCCTCATGGCTCGCAAGCGTACTCTGCACTCGCTCGACTATCGTCGAAAGCTGCTAGGCTCACGCTCGCGAGACTACATCCAGCGTGTGCGCATGACTACTACTAAACTACGCAGGAGGTAATTTATTAATACAGTCACTTACCAAAAAAAAATCGTACGCAAATACTATCTTCGTAGCCTGCTTGAATATTCTTCTTTGAAGTCGGTTCATGCAAACCGACTCTCGGTCGATGACCTGAGTGTCACAAGATAATTTATGAAAGCGAACGGACAAAATATACATGCGTGAATAAATGCCTAAGTAAATCGATTGATAAACAGTCAAGATGCAAACAATCATGAAACAAATATTCCACTGCCGACAGAGAGAAAGAGAGCTTTTTTCTAATAAAGAAGAAATCAGTGATGATACGTATAAACACAATATAATAACTTTCGATACGAGAGCTAAAATAATTGTACTTAACTCGTCATGAGACATAATTCTCTTTAGAGTTTATAGCGGTATGACTATATACTATTCATATCATATTTTTTGACACGACCGAGAGTGTGCGAAGATATCAGAACGCGATGAAAAATAAAGAAAAATGAATAATAGACACTTTTAGCGTACACTACGAAACGCATTTCACATTTTGGGATATAAAGCCGAGATATTAAACCGATACTATCGCGATATTTTCTACGTATCATCTATAAGCAAGTCTTGCTCGATGATACAACGAAAGACAAAGAAGCACGAAAATGGAATGCTGGAAAGTAATATAAGTCAAAACAAAATTGCTGTGTCATTAGTAGCGGTACTACTAGGCTACCCGGAAGTAAAAAGGACTCGGGATCCGGGACCAGCGTGAAGGACAAGGATAGAGAGATGGCCAAAGCCATTAATGCAGAATTTTCCGATGACGATGACGAGGAAGATGATAATAAGAGTAATTGGGACGACGAAGAAAAGGTAATTCAGCAGTGGCGTTAGATAAGCTTATCGTTCAGAATTCTGGCTTTAAATATAGTATGTAACGCAATCGTTACAAATATGTATAATATAAATATTAGGAATCACACATCTATTACATATATTGTTAAAATTTAATTTGCACGAATTAATTTTAATCGTTAGTGTCCATATTAAAATCGCATGATATCGAATATCTAGCATTAAATTCTTAACGATGGACTCGCTGAAAGTTTGCTCATATATTTAATAGCATATTATATATTTCATATAATGTTTTTAAATATGATGACGATACACATCCTCTTACATGTTTGAATAATTTTATGATATTTATTGTGCATCGACATTGTGCAGCCACATGAACGTGATGAAGAGGACATGGAAGAAGAAGATGAGAAGAAGAAAAAAGAGGATAAACGTAAGAAAGAAAAGCAAGATAGAGAAAGGCAACATACCGAAGATGAGGAAGAAAAGGATGATGATATTAAAGAAGATGACGATCAAAAGCGAGAAGTGAGTTGTTTCAGTCCTATTATTACTAATTATTAAAATGGGTATACTATTGTTGTCATTATTACTATTTTATTACTATTTTTGTTCTATTTTATTGAATTTGTAGGAGGATGAAGATGGTGATGATGAGGAACGTGATGAAAATGAAAAAGCGGAACGCGATAGAAATGCAGATTCCGAAGAATTGCCAAGCAGACGGGACGGTAGAAAGTTTATAAAATTGAAGTGTCCACATTGCGCCCATCACAGCGTTACATTCAAAGAATATTCACTCCATCTATTCTCTGGACGTCATAGCGCGGCGATGAAACGCATTGCAGCTCGACATAAGGTCACTCTTACACGTATGCGAGTTGTTCAACGGCAAGAACAGAGACGTATCGAAGCTCGTGATGCAGCACGTGGCACCCTCCCTTCTCGCACTATGTTCTGTGCTATTTGCAAATTAAATTACCGTTCCTTAAAAGCTGCCCATCAACTGTCTGAATCTCATCGCCAAATGAAACGATTCCTCACACCATTCTGTCGTGTTTGTCGTATCCAGTTCCGATCACCAATGTTCTTTGAGACACATATGTGTTCCCTAGAACACATCAAGGTAACTCTTAATATTTTGAAAATTATTTTGGTAATTATTATTGATTTTTTATTGGTATGATAAGACTAATATAAATCGATTGTTCTTTTCTCTTTTGTCAGAGAAAGAGTATACTGAGAGAAAGAATGAATGCAAATGGAAGCGGTGAAGCAGAGGCAGATTCGAGCGCGCCGGAAGAAGATGATAAGGAAGTCAATCTTGATAATTTTATGACTTTGGATTCTGTAGGTGATGTAGATGGTATGTAACAAAAATGTACGAAATATGATACTAATTTGTCAAAGCATCTTCTTCACAGTTAAATCTAATATCACTTTGTCTTATGTTACACCATTATTGTTTACAGAAGACGAGGAGACTAACGACAAGAAGAAAGAAAAAGCCGAGGGTGAAAGTTCAAGCGAAGCGGAGAAAAAATCCAAGGGCAAACAGATGATAAAAGTTGGTGCGGAATACATAAAACGTGTCGAAGTACAATACTGCGAGTTATGTAAAGTATATCTGCCACGCAGTGAAAATACAGAGCGAGCAGTTGCTTTACATTGTTCCACTCGCAGTCATCTTAAACGGTATATCATCACTGTTCAACAGGATTATAAGATAATCGGGTAAACTATTAGTGGTATTTACAATATTGTATATGTTGCAGGTATGTGCGAGATAATGATGATAAGGCGCTTAGACGTCAAGCGGAAAGAATACATCTGCAATCGTCATCTTCAACGAATGTGAATTCTACCAATTCCACCGTGACTAATACATCGGATAATGCAAAGACTTCTCCTGTCAGTTCCGAGCCACAAGTATCTGCTACACCAGTATCTACTGCGGCTGATAATAACAGCGTTTGCGGCACAGAATATATTAAAATTGAAGAAGAAAAATCTAGTAGCTTAGAATCTGAAAAGAATGCGAAAGACAGTAAGAATAATCAGGGGGATGAAGATGACGACGATTACCGTGCGCACGGTAGTGATAAAATGATTTGGGATGATGTCGACAAGGATTTAGGTGACATTTTAAGAGAGAGCGAGGCGGGAGCATCAAAATCGAGCGATGATGAAGATTCGCGTTACGATCGTTTTCGTAATTCGGACAAGAAACAACCCGGAAAAGAAAAAGAAACTGAGAAGAGCGAGATCCTCGAAGATAAAAGCGGTAATAATAAAATTAAAGATGTAAAAAATTAAGATCGAAAGGACATGTCTTTCGAGCTTAATATTATCGTCGAAAATTGTCTTTTGTTATACATTTTCCATTTATTTGATTCATTTTCTATTATGTCCGTTTCACTTTCTTTCAAATCTCGTTTAATTGACTGTTTTTATAAAATCATGCAAATATACATTTTTTCAAGATATATTTTCTTTCATTGAACAAAAACAATTTCTATGCATAATGTGCTACACGTGCGAAATATTTAATCATTATTACATGTTTCATTTTTACATTTGTATTGTATCTTCTTCTTCAGTTGAAAACATGTATCAGTTATAATATATCTAAATCTTGCAATTTTCAACTTATGTAATTTTAATATAAATATATACATACATATATAAGTACTGTATCATTAATATCATATGTTGCCGAAGGACTGTCATTGACATTGTCGAAACATAATTATATATATACATATATATATACATATACACACACAATACGTGAAATAATAAAATATACAAATTTCAATTTTCAGTTATTAGCTTGGAGGAAAGCGACTGAGCAATGTGTGCATCTCATGTAAGCACAATTTAAATATAGATTATCGATCACGTAATAAATTCTGCACTCTAGGATTATATGATTTTTTTGCCACATACAAACTTGAATTAAATCGTAATTTCATATGTGTGACTGTTATCGATTACTTTAGTAAATACTTTGCTGATGAAAAATTTTAGAGTGTATAATACTAATGTTCTCTAATACAATATTAGAAATATCAATTTCTCATTCACTTAATGTAAACAAATTTCTTTGTATCTAAGAAGCATTTTTGTCTGTAATTAGTATAACTATTAATATAGCTGTGCTTTATTTGCAAATAAACGGAAAGCCAGATACTCCTTGTAAAGTCTTTCTATTATTTTTATCCCTATTTAGCCATGTATTCTGCAACTCGTTATGCAGTCGTGAACGCATAACGATTACCTAACGAGTTACAGAATACAGAGGTAGACAGTTATTAGAATGATTTTTAGTGAAATTTAGTAATGTTTGAATTGTATGTTTGAAACGTAATGTTACAATTGTATGTTTTTTATATTTGTGGTACATAATGAAAGAATATTTTCATAACTTACAATTTGGACGATTTTAGAAGAAGTGTTTTGAATAAAAGTCACTTTGTTCTTAATGCAAAGCATTTGAAATTTTAATATTCTCCTAACCAAGGAAGACTATCAAAATTCAATTGTAACAAGAGAATGACAAAATCATGCATTTTTATTTGGTCATTTCTACAATATTAGAATCTATAACATTTTGTATGATTTATCCTACATATATTTATGTTGCATATTATTAACATAATAAAATATTTTAAGAATTTAATAAATTAACAATTGTCATATGAACGTTAAAGAAAGAGAAAAACAGAAATGCTAACTGATGCTAGCATGGCATTTCGGTATTGTGAAACCTATTACATATGCAATGACGTAGCTCGCGCATGCGCGCAGAACTAGTTCGGAGAATTTTTACTTTCCAATGCTTAGCATGCTTTGGCATGCTTGGCACATGGTGGCACATGGGTTCCATGGATCCAACGGATCAGTCGTGATTCGTCAGGGAATCAACGCCGAACCATCGTCTTAAATCGGACAGTGTACGAAGGGCAAGATTGACGCTCCATGTTCCCTTAAAATTCAACACTTTGATATTGATTGTGGTGAAACCAGCCCTTACCGCGGTGTTTACAAGAACGGACGGATTGTGCGTTTATACAGACATATTATGATCCGAAGTACGCGTGGATAAGATACGCGTTCCAACGTGATCTCTCAAACTTGATTTTCGGCTGCGTCCTGAATAAAAAAACACTCGTGTATCCGTGCGAGCGATTTGATGCTTGATATTGGATAATGGCACTGATGCGGGGATTACGATCGTCTTTTATCTTAGGAACGAATTATGCATTCACGTACATGTCTAGTCAAGTTGTCCCCGCAAGAACTGTGTCTCTCGTGCAACCGCTTTTTAAGAATAAAGAGTAAGTAAAAAAAATTGGAACCATGATCGTTCTCTCGAACAGGAGCGTTTGGAACTTTTAAGTAACTTTGATCAAGTTCGAATTGATTTAATTGGTGATCACAGTTCAATCGGCAAGATTGTTTACAAACTTGTACATACAATTCATCATTTCTAATCTAATTTCTTCTCACTTATCAGATAACAAAGTGATAATTCTGTTCATTTTGTGAGCACTAAGTTACACTTGACAAGTTAATTGCCGATAATCAGAGTTTGGTCAAAATAGTTAAAGTTCTTTATATACTCAGTCGCTTTCTACTTGACACTGTAGCGTCAAGATAATTAGTAAGATTAGTATTGTTAAATGTTATTAATAACTTTTTCATTTTGAAAATCTTAAAAAAATGTCTTGTAAAAGTTGCTACGAAAAAAAATTTCTAATATCATGAGAAATTTTTAGATATGTTTAACTAAAAAAAATTACAAATTTCTAGATAAAATTATGTCTAACTTTAGCAATGTAAATAGTTAATTAAAATTTGCGTTGCTAAGAATTATTAATTCGTGAATATTTAAGTAAAATTAAGCTTTTGTTGGTAAAATGATTTAGGCGAAATACTCCAAAAATAAATATCTATTTTATTCAGGGTTACTGTAACATTTGTTAAAGCCAATGGAGAAAGAATAAAAGCAAAAGGAGAAATTGGAAACAATATTTTAGATATTGTTGTGAACAATGACCTTGAGTTGGATGGTTATGGTATGAATGTTTTATACAAAAATCAGTTTGTTCTTAATAATCGTGTACAATTTTGATGAAGCATTTTCTATCTTGATTATAGGAGCTTGTGAAGGAACACTAACGTGCAGCACTTGTCATTTAATTTTTTCTAAGGATGTGTTTGATAATCTTCCAGACAAACCTACAGAAGAAGAAATTGACATGCTGGATTTGGCACAAGAACGAGGACCAACGTATGTTTATACGAATTGTACTCTTTCTCTCTTTCTTGAGAAATGTTTTATATGCTGATAAAAGATCTATACGAATGAGAGAGAGAGAGAGAGAGAGAGAGAGAGAAACATTCTCTAAATCTCACTTTGTAATGTCTCTCCTACATTTATTCATGAATTAGCTTCTTATACCTATATCTCTAAAGGATGATTTTGAATAAAATTTGCTTAAGTAGAAGCCTATCAGGATCAAACATCGCTTGATTTGTTATTCAAATTAATTGTCTCAGTCTCTTTCTACTTCCATTATACTTTCGCATTTTTATATTTTTTTAAGCATGTAGTAAACTTATTTTATTTATTATTTATTATTCAGTTATATATTTTTTTATTTGTCATTGTTTTAAATATATATATGTATTTAATTATAGTTCGAGATTGGGCTGCCAAATAATTATGACTGAAGAACTCGACGGTATTGAAGTAAAAGTACCAGCTACCATTAATGATGCAAGAACATAATAATTCAGAATTGCTATAGACCTGAAAAATCGGAAAAAAAGCAGGGAAATTGAAATTGATCATGGAAAACTGGGAAAAGTCAGGAGAAAGTGTAAAAAAGTCTGGAATTTCAAAATATGCTTACAATTTCCTTAAACTGCTCCTATTCTAAATAATTGTTATAATTTCTCAAAAATTGACGTTTCATTAGATCTTGTTAAAGTTGTTTAGATAATTTTAGGTGTTTTATATTGATTCTTTTAGTGCAATTCAATCTAATTATTCTTTCCAATATAACATGTTATGTGTATGTATAATAGGCAAAAAATGATATTCACAGTTAGAAATTTCATTATAAATTTAAATAATATATAAGGGAAGTGTTTATGATTATGAAAGTAATTGAGAAAAAATATCTAACGAATGATTTAACTGAAAATTAAATTATAGTAGTCTTAAATATAAGACTTTCTACAATAAGCCTACACTGTTAAAAAAATTTGCTTCCGTCACATATAATGGAAGCAAATTTCAAACATATACATTAAAAATTTAATATATTTTGTTGTGAATAAAAGTAACTTAAATTTAACATTTATTTATGTTAAATTTCATGTAAATCTGTATAAAATTTATTAAAAAATGTACTAAACTTTGTAAAATTTTATGAAAAGTACGCAGAATTTCATGTGCATGTACATAAATATATTTTTCAATTACAGATATATTAATTTTTTAATGTAATATGAAATTAAATTTAATTTGTATAACTTAAAAGTACATTAAATTTGATATTTTTAACAGTACTGGTTCAAAATTGTATTCAAATTTTAATATTGTAAAAACAAAAATATTGTAAAGATAAATTCTTTGTGCAATATTTTTTTTAAATAATTGTATATATTATATAAATATATAAATATTGACAATATTTCGTATATAAAAATATGTAAAATGTTTTTACTCAAAATATTAAAATATGAGCGATGAAAAAAATAAATTTTTATTTATCACTTTTAAAAATAAACTTATTTTTTCGTTCCATTTATAATTTAGAAATCGGTTGTAAATATATTTTAAAATCAAATGCTCTCATCAAACTTTGCTTACAAAATATTATTGAGTTTGTGTTTTTATCTTCATTTTTATTATATAAGGATATATTGAAATATCCAAATGAATATTTTAATCAAGAATCAAAAAGGCAAAAGATTTACAAGTAACTATTCTCGTAGTTCATAATCAAACATATAATCCAAATGAAAAACATTCACTTTCACAAATCAGTGAGATGTAAAATATATATATGTATATTGATAATTTATATATAGGGAATATTAATCTATACTATCTATACTATCTAATACTAATGAATATGAATATTATTTAACAATAATAATGAAATATCGATAGAAAAATACTTGATAAGCAATCGGAGACTTAAATCACATCTACATTATGATTGAAATAATTTATGCATAACTTGATTCGCAGTACATATCCAGAATAATTTATTTTTTCTTTTTTTAATTAATTACATATCAAATACATCTAATGTTACATAACTATCAGTACATAAAGCTAAAACACTTTTGTACTATGTGCGTTATATATGAATCCAACAAATAACTTACATGATTAAGTTACATGCTTCACTACTTCCAAGTGTACTTATTACTATACTACTTACAAACGCAGTGAAGTGTATACATGTATGTTACTATATAATTTACATTATTTTCAACTTCTCTTTCTTACCCTGCCCATTTATTAAATTACATCTCCGATTTCTAGAATATATCATATATTCTTGCGTTATATATGTACATATATGTTTAATCAAATTGTTTTTCGGTTTACTTAAATGTTATAATAGTGAAAGTTAAGTTTTTCGTTTCGAATTTATAATTCAATTGATAGAGCTAGACAGTAGACACAAGTCGCGAATATTGATATATTCATGAAATAAATTGATTTAATAATTGTTTGGAATCAAATATAAAATAACCTACAAACAAAGAATTTAAATAACACAAGATGATAGTTAATAAAAAATTTTTAATCATTTTTCGACAAGATCGTGACTAAATGTGTAAAAACTTGCAAATACAGCAAAAGCTCCACTTTTTATTCTGCCTATTAAACTCATTTTCATTAATGAGTTTTCACATTTGTGGATGCAAAATTCGCTTAGTCGCAAAAAATGAACAATAAAGTGAAAATTTATTTTCAACATTTTTATTTTAGATAATCCTAAGAATTATCTTGCTGTCTGTGATTTTTTTGGCGTATTCACAACATTCAAGTATAAATTTCGTATATTTAGGTACCGTGATTATACAAATATATATATGGTAATGTTTTACAAAACGTAATCATTGCGGATATGGAACTTCTACCGTAAATTAACGTAAGATATGTTATATCATACTCATAGATTATCGAGCGTTTTTACGTAAGTCGTTACCACATGATTTGTATCATCATTCCGTGCAACACACCATAAACAACATAAATTCTTTATGCTTTCTTTTGTTTTCAGTTTGTACTCGAAGTTAGATTCCAAATGCTTTAAATAACACAAATGTCACATGTATATATATCGCGAGGATATGAACATCAATATAAATAAAAAATAAAAATAAGATATCTTCTAAATGCTGTAGTTATTAAAATTGTTGTACAAACATGTTAAAAAATGTAGTTATTACATTTTTTTTATGTTCAAGAAAATGTTTAGTATCTATAAATTATACGAAACAATGATTTAATATTTTTAAATTTAATTAATACAAAAGTTTAAAATATATTTCAATATTTTCAAAGAGAAAATTTTTTGTGTTGGTATTCTATAATTTTTTTTAAGTATTTTATTTTTAAGTACTGTAGCTGCAATCTTTTTTAATATGTATGAATCTTTTATGACCACAAAATAACGATATAAAATTATAAATCTAATTCTAGGTACGCACTTAAGTATAAATTTATAAAAACTTCGCATGCATATCTTGATACCTTTAAATATTAAAAAACACTGATGTATAAAGGGAACGAAATTATGGCCGATATTCATAGTCGGTTCTTATATTCAAGATCGTTTTAAGATGAATCAATTAGGAAACTGTATTAGTATCTTAAGATATTACTTAAGACGGTTTTAACAAGAATCGACAATGAATATCGATCTGTATTTGATTTATGTAAATCATACAACACACATCCATTGTCTTGAAATTTGAAGAACTCATTCAATTTTTTTCTTTTTTAATTAATAGATTAATCAACGTACAAATGGATAAATAATGAACAATTGAATTTGCGGTTAACTAATCTGCAGTTAAATTCTGTTAGACGATATTTACACTATATAAAGTAAATATCATTAAGAAAATATAAATTTGATTTTATCAGTGCATCGAGTTTACAAATTTCAAGCATTTTATCAATCAGCTGCGCAATTATACAATAATCGGAATCTTGTATTTTCATATACACATGTAAACATGAAAATAATCTAGGACTAGAGATTCTGCAAAGTAAGTACAAATAATAATAATAAGTGAAGACATGGCAAGATTCACCAATGTGCCAATTTCTCATTTCGTTGGGATCTCTGAGGATTCGAAAGTATACATACTGTTACATATACATGTTGAAGTACATTTCAATAATCGCACGTAATCGAAGATAATTGGGATTCTCGGTAAGCATAAAAATATAATTTTACGCAATTTTTGATAAATTATATCTAATATAAAAAATAATTATCTTTTTTGTAATAAAAAAAAAATTGCAAAAAATTATTTTATTCTTGGCATAAAAAAATTACATGAACTTTATTTAATATTCCGAGAATGTCGTAATATGAGATAACCAGAGAATCTTACGAAGCGAAATGCAACACGCATTCGATACGAGGAATCCTTTTTTTGTCGGCGTTGCGCAACAGGAACCTGTTGCTGCTGCTCATGGTGATAGTAGGATATATCAGTCGTAAATAAAGCATAAATCGGCAAGTTTCGATCGAGGAATCGAAATGATTGCATCGACGTGGTGAGAAATTTCTCCAAGAACACCCATTATGTACAATAAATGTATATTTTGTACGGTTTACCCTGAATGCATTGATAAAAAATGAAGCGAAACCTGTCTGAGAAAATTGTAATTAGTAGCGATATATAAAAAATGTGTAGCTCATCAAGGCCAACAAGAACTAACGTTATCGACCAGTCATTAAATCATGTTAGCTACAATACTAGCAGGATCAAGACAGTTCGGATTCTGACTGTAGGGACTAAGAAAACTCGACGGGAGAGAAACAAAAAATCTTATGACTCGAGTAATACTGGTTTAATAAACCAGACCATAAACATGGTTAGTGATATTGAGAGTATAAATTCCAAGGCTGTCAATAATTGTCGGAATAATATGGAAGCTAGAAAAACAAAGACGTTGATAAAATTTTGTTCGGTATATGATAAAATTCTGATGGAACTGTTTGACATTCTTAAATATTTACCATATTCAAACTGGTCATAAAAGTGGTTAAAATGTTATTTTGGATCATCCTGTATAGCTTCTATAGTAACAGCTGTTTCCGTTAAATAGTCTCTATTGTTAAGTTATATTAAAAATAAAAATATTAAATATCATATGGTAAAAATAAATTTAAAAAAATGTATTGTTGCGGTTAGGCTCTCTTAAAAAGTGAAAATAAATTGAAACAAATTACCTTTGTTTTACGCTTTGTTATGTCAATGATACATTTAGGGTATAAATAAAGAAAATATTCACTAAACTATTTTCTTCTTACAAGTTTTCATGGAAGTGTCCTCTT